GAGTTCCTAGACAGCGAAGCTGTACCATTCTAGGTGGATGGCGGCAGAAGCACAAACTTTAAGCTTCGTCCGCCAAGTGTAACAAGAGCCACTCCATGCAACAGGACATGTATAGCAACATACTGCAGGCCTTTCGTGGTCAAAAGTTCAGCTCGCACTTACAAATTACCACCGCCACCTACAGCGGACACACCGCCAACCAGATATAATTAAATACAACAGCGACAAAGCGGTTTGTGGGTCAGCGTGCTATTTCTTGTTTTCAGCAAGGTAGTGAGCACATCATCGAGCACATCATCGTCCCATCGCCACCACGGAGGTAGCGCCCATGACTCGGTTAAAGCAGGTGTGAGCAAGTGGGACCCAAGCAGTTGCCAAACGCGCCCCCAGTTCCAATACTTCAAGCGCTGCAGCTTCTTCAACCAAAAGCAATATGTGGTTTGCTCTCCAAACATGATTCCCTCCACCACACCAGCAATACCATTGGCCAAGCAAAGCACGTCTGAGACAGGCTGTGGTGAGTGGATGCTGATGTGCAAGCAGGCCAACCCCCACCCCGCACGCGCAAGCAGTTCTACAAAATATTTCTTGTGTATATACACATATATATATATATACATATAGAGAGAGAGAGCCTTCCTACAGAAACAGAGGGAGTCAAGCAACAAGGGAGCTCCTTTCTTGTTTGGTGAACGCTCAATGTGGCCAGACATCTGACGACTACATCTGATGAACCCTGACTACACACGATGTCAGATCACAGCATCGCAGTACCAGCGTTTGGGCGCCTCCTTTCGAATCGCACAGCGTATGGAGCGGTGGTTTCGGGACCTAACCAGGAGGACATGGCCAAGTACAAGATGGCTCACTTTTCCAAGCACCAGGCCCTTCGTCTGCTACCCAGTTTGTTGATGCTTTTCATTGGGTGGCCAGACCCCACATTAATGGAGTGTCTCATCTGGATTCCCATCGGTTGGCTTCTCCCCGCACGTCCCTGTGTTCCGGCGCTTGGGCTGACGCTGACCGTCTGGTCAGGACTCTCCGGTCGTGCGATCATGACAAGACCATTGTCAAAGCAGGCCAGGATGATGTGATGAGGCGCTGGGTTTTTGCGGGCCTGCCCTGTCTTGGGCGCGGCTGTGCGAGCAGGTACCTTGCTTTCGGCTCATTCGCCGCTTCTGCATCCAACAGCCCAGTGGCAAACTCAGGGTCGTCGATGATGCGGCTGATGGCGGCCAGAGCGAGCTGAGCCATGACGGACCTGTGTACTAGTATCCAGCCAGGCCAGCTGTCAGCTCATTACCTAATTCAGAGCCCCTGGTAGCAGATGGCGTCTGCTCAGGGAGTGAAGACCTCCCCAATGCCTACAGACACGCGCCAATGCTTCCCACTCAGGCGGACCTTGCAGTGGTTGCATACTATGACCATCATGTTCAGGAGAGCAACGTTTTCGCCGGTACTATGGTTCGCTGTTTGGCCTGCCCAACGCTGCGCGCTCATTCAATCGGTTCCCTCGGTTCTTTCAGGCAGTGTGCCGGCGTATGGGCTTTTGTTTCGCCAGCGTGTATTTTGATGACCTGACGGTGCAAGATCTGGGCAGCATGAAAAGGTCCGCGCAACATGTCATCACTAGTTTGGCCACACAGATGGGTTCCCCGTTTCAACCAGAGAAGCATCAGGCCATGCAAAGCCAGTCCGGCTTTTTGGGCCTCATTCATGATGTCGGCCAATGTCATCTTGGTCAACCAGTACGGTTTTGGGCCCGTGGCTGGCTACTGACTAAGGTCAACGATCTGATGGATGAGGCTACCCAGACTGGGCGACTACCACCGGGACTCGCTGCAAAGCTCTTTTGGTGCCTGGGTTTCCTCAACACTGGTTGTTTTGGCAAGTTAGGACGATCAGGCTTCAACACGTTGAAAGAGCGCCAGTATTCACATGCTATGACCTTGACAGATGATTTGTTACGCTCCTTTGAGATGATTCGTTTGCTGCTTGCCCTCAAGCCTGAACGTGAGTTACCACTGTTATCACTCCAACCAATTCGTCAACAGAGGTATTTGGCCGCCTCCGATGCAACCCAAGATGAACCCCGTCAGGGCTCTGCAGGACTCCTCTTTCAAGGTGTCAGGGTGGGCGAGATGCCTACGCGATTGACATTTCACCGTGCCTCTTTGATCTATGGTCGGAGCACCCACGAAGATTGCCCAGTTGGAGCTGCTCACGGTCTACGTGGGGTTTATCTTTGTGGCCAGTCAGGCTCGCTCCTGCAGGGGCTCTAGTTTGTGGACAACATCGCCGCCTTGATGGCCTTGGTCAGGGGCTGCAGCGACAACCCAGAGTGGACAATATGGCAGGATGCATTCACGCCCTTCTCTACTCTCTTCGCAGCGGCTGCTGTTTTGAATGGGTGCAGTCAGCTGACAATTGGTCAGATGGTATAAGTAGAAAGGGTGTTCATGACGAGTGGTATCAGGCGCATTCTTTTCGAGTTCATCAAGTACCAGTTCCCCTGATCCCACCCCGCCTACCTTACACGATTGTAAGCCATGTCTTCAAGTTCTTCTGAGCGCTTTGGATATTGATATTTCTTTGTAGTGCATTGGAAACGTATACCTGGCAGAGGTATGCACCAGGGGTGCATGCGGCATGGGCCGCTGTGACAGAGTCACACAAACCAAAGCACTTTTGAACTCAGACCTCTCAAGCTTGAGCGAAAAGGAATCTCGTCCGAAGCTGATCCGATTCGTCTCGAGTCAAACTTAAATGACGCAGCCGAATATATTCATTCATTCAAGGTAGGCAGGGTCGGTGATGAGGATTTATTTGATGTCACGCATTTTAAGTTCACTCCTGTGAGGTTGAGGCTCAAGCCAAAAGCACAAAGGAGTGACTCTCCTGAAGAACCCAGTGTCACTGGTTCTTCAAATTCTTTTCCCACCCACCGCACCCTGTGCTCTGTCCGAGTGGTCACAGGGAACTCTGTGGCAGCTGTCGGCCGGTGTGTCCACGTTTGCGGTGCATCTGAGTGGTTCTCGTGATAGCCTGCTTGGTGTCTACCTAATGGAGGCTCTATTCATGTGGTAGCTGTCCACCGCGCGCCACTGGTTGCTCCAGTTTTTCAGTCGATTCATTTCCTTCTCCTGGCAGCAGCCTGCGGAGTGCCAGATGGTTTTTGCAGCAGTCGGCTTGGCGGATTGCTCCAGATGTTTCGAGCGCTGATACCCTCCGGCAGTGGCATTGCGGTGCAATTGCGGGTCACTGCCCCTATTTCTTTGTTCGCAGTGGCAATATGGAGATAATTGCTGGTCACTGCCTGTCTTTAACACTCCAACATAGTCATGGGACTGGCTTTCAGTATCCTCTTGACTCTACTTGGTATGGGTAGGAAACGTATACCTGGCAGAGGTATGGACCAGGGGTGCATACGGCATGGGCCGCTGTGACAGAGTCACACAAACCAAAGATCTTTGGAACTCAGACCTCTCAAGCTTGAGCGAAAAGGAATTTCGTCCGAAGCTGATCCGACCCGTCTCAAGTCAAACTTAAATGATGCAGCCGAATAGTAAATTAAATCTATATATTCGCACTGGCACGGACAGGACCATGTATGTTTTGAACCATTGGTTTACTGCAAGGTGTTTACGCTAATCGCCGTGGCATGCTTATTTAGGAGGGCAATGCGCAGACACGTCTAAACGCAACCGTAGTGGCACACCATACGTTTGGAGCAATTGTGGTGACGCGCGCAACGCAGAATCTGGGTTCCGATCGTGTCAGAAGCCGCGTATCGCAGATTCAGTAGGAGGAGGTGAGAAGTGAGAAGACCTCTCCAAATCTGCGGGCACACTGGCTTGCATAGCTTCCCCTTTCTTACGCCCAGCGCTAGCCAAGGTCAGGTTTTAGGGTAGGTTTTAGGGTCGTGTTTCAGCGTGCCATGTGGGTGCCACTTGAACGCTTTAGATTTTTGCCGGACCACGCGTCCACACTTGCGCCCAGTGCGCACAAGCTAACAATAGGCTTCTGGGCAGGTATTCCAACATGAGACATGCATCTTCGGTGTGCTTTGTAGAGGGACACTGTGAATCCAAACGTGCGCTCCCACTTCCACCCTTGTGCCACAAGCTACGTGGAATTTTGGTGACGTGCCCCCGCATAAGACATGCGCGCTGCATCTTCGGTGCGCCATGCGGAAACACACGTTGAAGCCGATGTTGACATGGGCCTTTGATTTGCAAGCAAAGCGCAGCAGCGCACCACGAATATGCTTAAGAAGTGCGTGTTGACAGATTGATTTGTGGGCGATGGTGTGCCATGCGGGGTGACATCCTGATCTTGTGGGTTGACTTCTTGTCATCGGTGCGCCGTGCGGTGGACTGACTTCCTGTTGTTTCGCAGCCGAACGCTCGTACCACCCAGCACTATACTCACCACCACCAACAACAACAACAACAAGAAAGCGGAAAAAGACGACGACGACGACTACTACTACTACTCCTACTCCTACTCCTACTCCTACCACTACTACCACTACCACCACCGCCACACCACCACCGCCACCACCACCACGACTACTTCTACTACTACTACTCCTCCTGCTCCGACTACCACTACCACTACCACTATTACAACAACAACAACAACAACTACTACTACTACTACTACTAACAACCACAACGACGACGACTACTGCTACTACTAGTGCTACAAGTACTTGTCTACAACAACAACTACTACTACTACTCCTCCTACTACTTCTTCTACTACTACTGCTGCTGCTGCTGCCCTGCTACTGCTACTCTTACTCCTACTCCTATTCCTACTGCTGCTGCTGCTACTACTACTACTACTACTCCTGCTGCTGCTGCTGCTCTACTGTACCGTCATTACATATTGTCACTATGACTGCTTCTATGAATTTGTAAAATATCCAACGGAAGCCGAAGATGACGACAACAACAGCAGCCAATATTGCGAGCCAAAGATCGTGGCCTCCCAAGGACAGCATGTCAATATCGGTATCATTTTGGAGTACAACGCCTTCAGCGGACCTTTCCACTGGCACTGCCCCCAGTGCATATCAACTTGCACGCGTTGTGCCAAGCTGCGCTTCAGGAATCCCAAAGGAGTTTACGGAACACATGCTGACAAGAGATACTCGGCTTAAGTTTCCGGGTGCAAGTTGCGCAGTTTGCAGGGCCTTTGGGCTGCTGCAGAGTGTAGCCTTGAAAACAGCTTCTGTTCTTTGCGTTCATGGCGCTTGACTTGCTGAGGTCAGGCGCAATTTGGAGAGTTCCTGGGCAGCGTGCGGTGTTCTACCCACATGATGTAAAGCCATGTGAAGGTAGCTAGTGGTCAAAGCGAAACTGTTGTTGCTTGGCTGGGGCTGTGTTTTCTGCATCGGCGTTTGGTGGCCCCTGCGTGCCATGTCCTGCGGTCATGAGATCTTGGTGGCCCACAGTGCGCAGGTTGCAGGACTTTGTTTTGGCATTTTCCTTTCTCTTCCCTCGATCTTTCAGTCATCTTTTCGTTGTTTTTCTGGTGGTGTTTTTGTATATAGTGTTCAGGTGATCTTCTGGTCGGGTGTTTAGGTAGTATTCTGATTGATGGTGGTGCGGTGAGTGGCCTGTTGGCCGTTGCTTGCAGGATGCGCCGGTAGGGGGCTCCACTCTAGTGCGTTTTGATACCAAGTGAAATTTGCTTTACGTTCTGCAAACTTCATATGCAAGTTGTCCTTCTAGGCTTGGTCGCGCAGAAGTTCAGGCCAGAGAGGCTGAATGCCAGCATGCGCGCCGCTCAGTACTATTTGTGATCCATCCTGCAGCTTTGCGCAGCTGCAGCCTAGGCTGAGCTTGCAGGAGGCCATAAAGCGCAAGGAGCCGTTTGAACAACTCTTTGCGTTTGAGCAACTCTGTGCGTCCTTTCTTTTCTCCCAAACGCACCTGCGAAAGGTTCTCTTTCACGAGCGTCTACCAACTTCAACTGCCGAACTATCATCTCGAGTATCATCATTATCAACATCCTCCTTGTCAGCACCATTAGCATCAAAAGGGTCAACATGATTGTAAACGCTTTCAGCATCAGCGCCAGCATCGTAATCATCATCACTGTCACTATCATCAGCAGCATGTTCACCATCAACATCAGCACTGTCATCTTCGACATTGCTGTCATCGTTATCAGCGTCGCCATGAGTACATCATCATCATCATCATCATCATCGCCATCATCGTCAGCGTCAGCGTTAGCGTCACATGAAGTTGCAGAGATGCAGGTGAGTGATATGATTGTCAAGGGTCATCATCATCATCATCATCATCACCATCATCAAGTGCAAGGATGCAGGGGGGGAACGCCGGGTACATTACATCTACAGAGATGAAGGTGTTTTGATACAGGTATTGGGAGATAGGTGTGGGGGTAGAGTTGGCACAGGTGTTGAGATATAGGTGATGCAGTCAGGTGTCGAGATACAGGTGATACAGTGATACAGGTGTTAAGGTCTAGGTGACGACATCTACACAAGTCACCTGCGCCTGCGCAACTACGACTTCCAAATCTTAGTAAATACTCTTAGGTCGGTGGGGTGGCCGGAGAGATGCTATCGAATTGCATGCAACCCTCGGCGGAGATCGTGCGAGTCGGGTGCGCAGAACTATTGCTGTAATTTGCAATGCTTATAGGGGGCCGCTAAATTACTAGACTTTTAGAACTTATGTTGTAAGTTGTAGGCACTTGTAAGTCTACTTATTATACATAAGTACAGTAAGTACGATAAACCCTTATAAGTATATACAAGTTCCATCACCCTGTTTCCAAAAAATTGTCACTCAGGATTTTCTTGTTTTCGATGGTAAAATGCACGAGAGCTGTCAAAATACAATCAAAATTTGTATATATATATATATATGTTTTTAATGTATATATAATAATTATATAATGAGGGATGCATTCATCGTGTCCCTTCACCAACTTTTTCGATCAGTGGATGCAGTCGAAGGATTCCGTGCCATTGCGGTGCTTGCGAGTCCGCCAGAAGTGTAATCGGGCCTCCCGACTCACCTCCCAGATGAATGTTTTGTCTACGCTCAGCTTCCAAGTGGACCCTTATGGGTGATCCGTCTCGCAGATCAGGTAACAGCTCACCACGCATCCGCCCCACTCCCGCCCCCACAGCCAGACGCCGCCAGCGCAGATAGAGTTCCCAATCCCCGTGACTGCACCAGGTCAGCGTGACCAAAGCTGGCGCAGACTGCCTTGCCGAAAGGTCTGGCTGGTCTCCACATGTCGATTTGTACGCCTTGTGCTTGCGCTCGTGTGTCTCAGCGCAGGGGAGCGCAGACAAGCGCAGGGTTCACTGCAAGTGCCAGTGGCGTTACGGCTTCGCCGCAGCGTCGCCGTATGCCTCCACGAACTTGCGCTGGTGGCACAACTGCGCCGCTTCGAGCGGCCTAGTGTTTTGGGCGCTGCGGACGCGGAGCGGCGAGTACTGCAGGGATCGGAGCTCGTCTGTGCCCATATCCATGCTGTCCAAGACAGACGCCTCGGCGCGGTATAGTATACCGCAAATGCCGAACGCGTTTTCTTGGCCATTCCCTTGAACTGTTCTTCGTTCCAGAACTTGTCTGTGAACCACGCCCGCATCTTGTCCGCGCGCGGTGTGTTCCGACCCACAGTCTCACGTATTGCGCCCAAGGTGAAGCCGGGCAGCCGGGCACGGCTTCTTCGAACTTTGCCAGCGAAAGGGCCATCTCCCACGACGCCAGCCCGTTACTGAAATACAATGTCAAACAGCGCAGCCGACGGCAGACCCACTGGGTCTGCCAGCAGGCCGTCGGGGACGTACACTTGACGCCGCTGCTGTCCACCTCCGCGATGTTGACAAACCCTGCGGGGAGCTCCGTCACGCGCCTGCTCACCGCGTTGGAGCGCGAAGACGTGGCGGCGAAGTCCAGAATGTGGTGGAAGCCGAGATAGAACGTGTTGCGCTTCTTCTTCTTCTTCTGAATTCTTCTTCTTCTTCTTCTGAGCAGATAATATGTTCCCTCCGATCACTTCGTCCGTGTACAGGATCCCGCGTCGTTGTGGCCGCGTCTCCTCGCCGAGGGTCGCCGCAAAAGCATCCGCAAAGGACGGCGCGCGCGAACTTTGCCACCGCCAAATCCCCGCCCTCATATAGGGAAGGCCCACCGTTTGGAAGCAAGGCTGTCAAGGTGCTCGGTGTGTTTGCGTCGGCAAGCAGATGTCGGCGCCGCTGTCTTGTCGGGGTGCCATACGTTCCACAGACGCGTCACCTGCTTCGCTGAGATCCCCGCTAAGCTCAAGCCGTCCTCCAGTTGGGGTTCCTGGCAGGCAGGCTGCCGCCTTGCGCTTCACCGCAAGCACGGGTTGTCTGACATGCTACATGTCCGAGATTGGCAAATGGCGGCGGACAGAAAAAGGAACAAGTTGTCAGGTCACCTATCAATGTCAATTGGTTCATGTTTCTGCTGTATATTATGTGTGTATATTTATATATATATATTTAAATTCTTCGAGTGTAAATTTGTGTACATGTTAGCTAATTTGGAAAGCAATGAAATCAATGGTTTCTATTAGAGACCGCGCGCGTAGGTACGAGGGTGTGCTTTTAGGGGTGGGGGTACGGGTACGGTACATTGGGGACGGTGCTGCGTACGGGTACGGTACATTGGGGGACGGTGGTCCTGGCGCGGTACGGGTACGGTATATTGGGGATGGCGCTGCGGTAGGGGTACGGGACATTGGGGACGGTGCTGCGGTACGGGCACGGTACATTGGGGACGCGGTACGGGTACGGGGCATTGGGGACGTGCTGCGGTACGGGTACGGTGCATTAGGGATGGTGGCGCTGTACGGGTATGGTGCATTGGGGTTGGTGGTATGGTACGGACAAGGTGCGTTGGGGACGGTGGTGCGGTACGGGTACGGTGGGTGTGGCGATGGTGGCGCGGTACGGGGATGCACGGGCACGGCAAGCAGGGGCGATGGTGTAACAGTCGTGGTCATGAACTGCATGGTGACTGGACTGGACCATATTTGTATGTTTTTTTAATAAACGGTTGGGCTAGGTGCAGGAGCTGTGATGCCAATCCATGATCGAATACTGCGCAGTCTGCACTGCAACTGTGCAGGGTAGGAATCCAAGTGTTCAGTGCCTTCACGGGCGGACCGAGAGCATTTGGCTTTAATTATCGGGAGCATGGTGAGAGCCCAAGCAAACCATGCTCCAAGAGCACCACCTCAACGGCAGAACCTATCTCTGAATTGTAAGGATGCACAGGTATGGGCTTTGGCCTCGGGCTAGAAGCACTGCTTTTTGCAAGCACCCTCAAGGAAAGAAGAATGCCTGGGAACGAAGAATGGTCAGGAACAAGCGTGACAAAGTAAGGCGGCCACCCACGGTATTTTGCTGAGGATGGATGTCACTGATGTCACCATGCACAGTGTCTGTATTGTGACATGAGTCATGAGCGTTGGTTCAATTAGATTTGCAATCGTCTTGTAGGCGCAAGCTCGAGCGCTCCAACAAAGAGTTTGCTGTTCATCGCCGGGATACTTCTATAGTGCATCCTTTTGGTTGTTTGTTCAAATTGGGAAGTTTTGTTATGTTTTGTGTTGGAGGGTTTGCCTAGGGCCTATTCAGAAACTTGGGTGAAAAGCCAGAGCTAGACAGCTAGACGTATATGCGTGATTTTCCTATGGACCTCTGGACTTGCTAAGGTTTGGCAGCGAAGTGCGAGACCCTCAGTCACTTGTGTGCGCGATGGTGCTAGAAGCAACACCACAACGCGCGAGCAAACGTGTTGGTCTGGGTCGCGAGCAAACGTGTTTCAAATCAAATCACATACCCAGTGCCCATCGACTGGGCAAATTTCAACTGTCAAAGTCAAAGTCAAATTAGAGTTGAAGTTGAAATGAACTTTCAACTTTTTGGTTTCCCCTTCCCCTTCTGACCTTCTTGACACGTGATGAGGCATATCGGCAGGGATGTTGTCTGTGTGATACTCAGTTTACTTTGCCTCAGCTCATGGTGGGTCTTTTGACTGCTTCCTGACTTGTTCACAGTGAGGCGCGAAGTAAATCACGTATCTGAATGTTCCCTGAAGACCCTGGGCGATCTACCTGACATGTCCCTCAAGTTCTAGTGAGCTCCTGGTGACTAGTGTCAGCTTTTGTTTGTGTTCAAGTTCCCGCTTTTCGTTGAAGTCGATCAGTCGATCGATCTGATTTTGTAATGCTCAGGTTCCAGTCGCGTCCAGCAATTCCAGTACTACCACGCTGGAC